TGTTAATTAAGACGGCCATTCGGGTGCCCCATCCGGTCACCTCCCTCTACCTGTTCTGTCACTTCAGTTATCGGCATGATGGTTTAGGTCCGACAAGGTCAGTTGAACGTTAAGATGTAGGTACTTCCTGGCATTGCGCATGTGCATTTTCCGTGTCCTCTCCGCGGAAAGCGTATCGTGCGAACATTCGTCTCTAGTCTGTATGTGTCAGTCTGTGATATGTTGCATACAGCTGTCTTGTTGCGCATCGAACCAGCTCTCATCGACGAAAAAGCAGACCATGTCCGTTATCATATCGGACCATCTTACTGAGGTATGTTCTGCGAATTGCTCCCAAATGTAAGCTTCTTATAAAGCTGCAGTTTTAAATGGGCTTGAAATGTTAATCAATTCTTCCGCAAATCACTTTTTATCCGCCGATTAAAAACGTCCTGGGTACCGCGATTCGCAACCGCAAATTTATTGAAATCCGGGATAAATCAGGCTTTGGAGTGGGTTAGGCCAACTCTGTCGGCTGAGCTCCCACAACTGATTTAAAAAAGCGACACTGGGACGTTGGAGCACTCCTCATGTTTACCTGTTTTGTTTCAAGCACGATCCTATTTTCGCAGCGGTGCAGGACGTTGTGCTAAATCTTCAACTTCTTTTTTGATATAAGGCCATTCCTTGGACATCGTACCAACTTGAAGATCTGCTTAGTACGCTATACAGCAACGTCAAGTTCCATAACTTGAATTTGATATGAAATGACGGGTCATCCCATGCCAACTCAACCAATGTTAGGTCCATTTTTGAAGCCCGACTATTTGGAACTTCAATGAAATTGTGTCTATAGTGTTTCGTTTAGCTCTGAACGCAATTTTGAAAAAAATAAAAAAGACTGGGGTCACGTTTTGATGTTTGAGATATTTTTCATTTTTCATCTTTTGGGGCAAGACAGTTTTGTGACGATTGTATCCAAAAAGAATTTGCCAAAGGCCCAAGCTCAAACAACGAGGCAATAGACCGTAAACACGGCTGCATTTTACGTACCAATGTTCTAGGAAATTTTGAGTCATATGTACAGCTATATATATATAGTATATATATATATATATATATATATATATATATATATATATATATGAATTGAATTTTGAAGCTTTCCAAATCGATTTGTTTTGAGCATGAATATCTTTGCTTCAAAATAACCATGACTTCTTAAGACAGCATTAATAGCCTTATTCCTCCTAGAAAAACCAGGAGAATGGAGCTGCATGCCTTTATCGAACAACATGCCTTTATGCCGATATCACTGAGTGAATTTTCCTGAATTTGAACTATCTGCCATTGCAAGTTTTTAAATGTGATCGGGCTTAACATTATGTACTGTCCTGACAGGATACCTTGCTTAAAATACATTGACTACATAGGGTTGCCTGTCGCCGCGCACGGGCTCTTGACCGTAACCATGCAACACGCCTTCGTCGAACTTGGCCTCTACTACGGTTTCGATAAGGCATGTTGCCCAACTATCAACGCATCCATATCTCAGTTCTCCGGGACTCTCTACGAGGAGTAAGGCTATTACGGCCGTCTTATCTATGTGCGTAACGTTCCTCGCAAGTGTATTCACAATTTACTTAACCATGACTTCCTTTTCACCGTACTATTTACCTTAGAATCCGTGAAAAACGTAGCGGGCATTTTCATACCAACCCACTCAGCGAGGACAGAATCGGCCTTCCGGCACGCAGTGGTCGGCCGCTGCTTCCCTAAGCGCCTCCTCTCTCTGGAGTTGGGTGTCTGACGTGGTCAGATGGTGGTAATGCGGGTTTTTAACAGTGCCTCGGCTGCTGTGGTCACTTCGCGCTGTGCTGTTGTGTCAACGGAAAAGTGTCAACAGTAAAAAAGCACTGTCAAGAGATCGCCAGAAGCCCGAAGGCCCGAACGCGACGACAGCCACCACCATGTAGTCAATATCTTTTAATCTAACGCCTGTCAGGACAGCACATCATGTTAAGCCTAACCGCAGCTTAGAGCTTGTAATTGTAAAGAATTCAAACTCAGGAATTTCACTTATCAGTTGACATCGGAGTCGTGTGACATCCTAAGAATCTCTGCCTTTCAAGGCCGATTAACGTACAGTCTGCAGGTGCTTGTTTTGTGGTCAACAGGTGGTTGCATCATTCGCACATGGGAACATTCGCTGCGTCGTTCGGTCGAAATTTACGGGCGCTGCACGTGTGCCTAATGCGGAGGAGGGTCAGAATGACTTCATCTTCCCTGACCCTCCGGAAAGACTACTACCAGTTTCCTGTCTTAGGCCTGATGACTTTCAACCTGCTTCTACCGCTTTCCTAACCCCACAGCTTCTGCCACTCAGCCCGGATATAACGCCGTCACAGCGTGCAGCTCGCTGGAGGGGAACTCAGTGTTCTCGTCGGGGGAGGCAGCGCTGCTGCGGCCTTCGCCGCCTGGTCAACAGACTTATTACCGGTCAGGCCAGCGTGGCTGGGCATCCCGACTAGGGTGGCCTGGTGCCCGTTTGCTTTCAGAGACCTGATAAGCTCCCGGATCAACTAGATCAGCTGGGTCGGCGGGGCTCAGCGCGGTTCAACTAGATCAGCTGGGTCGGCGGGGCCCAGCGAGGTTCAGCGGGGTTTAACTAGGTTCGCTAGGTCAGCTGAATCAGCGGGGTTCTGGAGAGATAGAACTGAGCTGGGAGAGTGTCAGGAAATATGGTAGAGCATCGAAGCTCCAGGTGCGAGATGCAGTCAAGACCTAATATGGATAGATCAAATCGCACGTTTAGCGTATAACGTAATATAGATATTGATAGCGTACAGCTCAGCGGAAAACCCGATACGGACAAGGGCATGGGATACTATCCCGAACCTTTCGACAATGTGGCACACCCAGTGCCTGGACGCGGTCTGAGGAAAAGGAGAAAAGAAAGGGGCAGTTGATGATATATATTCCGGCAAATAGGAGATAAATCACGTTTGGATTCCCTCTTCACACTAGTTACTGTCAAAGCGTGCGACCATTCGAGTCGAGTGTGCTTGAAAGATCACGGAGACATACAGGTCTAGATACTGCATTCTAGCCATCAGGCTGACAGCTCTGACGTGTCGAAGTGCTCCCCGGGAGTCTCTCTCGTCTCTACTTATGCTCTTAATCTATATAAGAGAACAGGACTGATGCAATATCGGAAAAAAACATTGCATCAATGTCTCTTCAAACGCTGAAGAGGGCAATGTAGCCGGACATAGCCTCAGAAGCGGCTTGTTTTACTGGTTAGGTACTGAATCGATGTTGCGTGAAATGTTGATAACATGTTGTTCCATCACAAAGAAAACGTTGCTATCCTTCTGCCTTGGCTTCCTTCTTTGCCCCCATCTAATGAGACTTGCCATACTGTGTTGACTCAGATGGTTCTTGCATCTGGCGGTGAGTCAAATAGCTATCGTGTCTTGAACATCACACCGGAGCCCATTGACTCAAAATAAGAAAGTGGTCGAGGCCACCGCATTGTCTGAAAAGTCGTCACGTAAAACGATGGCTTAGCTGAAAACAGGCCACGAATGCAGGTCGAGCTCTCAATCGAGACGAGAATGTATTTATCATATCCAGCGCGAGCGTCGGCACCAACATGAGAACTTCAGCCATCCATCAACGCGCAAACGAACACACAACTCACTTCTAGTCCAGGACGTAGCATCTTCAGCACTCACCACCTACTCGTAATCACTGTAGTAATCGTAATCGTAGCTGGCTTCCGAGCCTGAAACAAACATTGTTATCAGAAGGACGCCACAACCGTCGACCGGAAAGGCACATATCTGTAACACACAACCCATACCGTAGATATAGTGCTTGCGATCCCCACGTAAGCACGGTAGAAATCGGAAGTTCGGTGAAGCGCGAGCTGCGTCACACGCACTCTGAGGACCACTTAAACAAATGGCAAATGTCTTCGTGTGGAGATGAAACTCGATCCTTATGGTCTCCCGAACGCTCGATTCCGCCCATGTCCAGCGCATCTGGGTCGATCACGCGTGGAAAGTGGTCACTCCATTCACTGCTTCCATATTTGAATGGCTCGCACTACAAAATCAGCCTTGCTCCCGTCCTCCCGGGCATCACCTGTAACAGCTGAGCACCGGTTGAACCACGAGCGCTGGCGCAAACCCTAGTGGAGCCTCCTCTGCCGCAGTCCCCCCCCCCCCCCCCCCCATTGTCATTCCCGAGCGCTGCCGTCCCGTCCCGTCGGAGACGCAGCACTGCCGTCCCTTCCCGTCGGAGACGTAGCGCTGCCGTCCCGTCCCGTCGGAGACGCAGCACTGCCGTCCCGTCCCGTCGGAGACGCAGCACTGCCGTCCCGTCCCGTCGGAGACGTAGCGCTGCTCAGTCCGTCCCGTCGGAGGAGCAGCAACTGCCGTCCCTTTCCCGTTCGGAGACGTACGCGCTGCCGTCCCGTCCCGTCGGAGACGCAGCACTTGCCGTCCCGTTCCCGTCGGCAGACGTAGCGCTGCCGTCCCGTCCCGTCGGAGACGCAGCAATGCCGTTCTGTTCCGTCTGAGACCGGGCGCTGCCAACCCGTCATTCGACGGGACGAGACGCAGCACTGCCGTCCCCGTCCGTCATTGACGCAGCGTTGCCGTCCCGTCCCGTTGATGACGCAGCGCTGCCCGTTCCGTCCCGTCTAAGACGCAGCGTCACCGCCACCACCCCGCCCCGCTCTGCCCCGCCCCGCCGCAGCGCCCACCTGATGCCGATGCCACCTCGCAGTAGAAGGACACGGCGTCGTCGCAGCTCTGGGCCAGCCAGCCGCCCTGGCGACCGTCCAAGGTGGCGCACAGTGGGCCCTGGCCGTCAATCGGTGGCCGAAGCCAGTTGGTGTAGCCCAGCGCCGTGCCGTCCTCCCAGCGCCAGACGCCGTCCGACCAGTCGTTCGTCAAGCCCAGTCGGATCACGTGACCGTTAGCCAGCCCTAGGGCGACGGGGACACGCGCTGGTCATTGGGGGCCGCGTGGGGGCTTAGAAGCCTGGTGATTGGTGCCCGCCTGCTGCAGCGGCGCTGTCAGTGGCGATGCGGTTGTGGTTGTTTTGGTGGGGGCGTGGGGATGGGGTGGGGGCGTGGGGATTATGGGATTTTGGTGCAAGGAGGCGTTCATACAACGCTGCCGATGCTTTTCCCAACTCGCAAAACATGGACGGCAACCATCGACGAAGCACGACCTTCGAGTACATTACTCAACAGACCAAACGAAACATCCCAGAGATTCCGGGTCAAACAGCAGCGCACGGGCGCGCCAACCAGCGTCCGTCGAGGCGTAGCGTACCAGCGTCGTAGACATCATCATCAACCCCTTAGACGGCTCGGCGTAAGGTCTTCGTCACCTGCCCCTAACTATTACCAGCCACGTTCGTTACGCCATCCCCCTCCTCCCCTCCTCCCCGCCGCGGATGGCGGCACACGTCGGCGCCGGCGCTCACTCTGCAGCGCTGTGTCCTCCAGCGCGTTCTCCACCACGGGCAGCCGGACGCCGAAGTCGCTGCCGGCCATGCGGGCGCAGGCGACGCGCGCCTTCAGGTAGTTCTGGCCGTCCCGGTGGAAGGCGTAGCAGGAGCCGGCCTCCTCCCGCCAGTTGGTGGGGTCTGGGCAGGTCGGCTCAGCGACCACACGCACTGCACCACACGGGGGAAGGCGGGGTGAGTGGTGTCCGCATCAGCTGAGCGAAATGGGTGTCACACGCACCGCCGAAGGAAATAGTAAATACGGTTGGCCATGTCAGGGTCCTATAACGCAGGGAAATTAGGTCACTAAATCATTTTCATGGGTGATTGGGACGTCACAACAGCAGTTTTGGGCTTTTAGGTCATGCTTTTATTACATCCATTCCCTACATTCGGCCCTTATTGAGCAACTAACACCACTCTGGCTAGGCCGGTGTCGACCTGTGGAGCTGGAGCCGCAGTCGGCCGGCGCGCCGAGCTTCCCGTACCTGCCGGCAGGCGGCAGGCGTAACTGCTCCTGCCCCTGGTGCAGGCGCGGGCCGCCCAGCGGCCGCGCCGGTTGACGGCGGCGCAGACCTTCATGTTGGCGGCGGTGGTGTCCGGCTGCCGGCCGGCCCAGGCGGTGAAGTCGCCGTCCGGCGAGCCGTCCAGCCAGCGCCAGCGTGGGAAGTCGTAGGCCGAGGTGAGGCCGAGCCAGCTGGGGCCGCCGCCGGTCAGCTCTGCCGGCGCAGTGCGGGGAGGTGATGTGCGGGCTGGGATGTCGCACCTCTCAGGCGGGCTGAGCCGGCTCTGCCGTTACAATGGTGCCGGCTGTTGCCGCGCGCTGTTTCGTGGCATGCGTGGCACTTCCGTGGCTGCGGGCGAGGATCACCCGACATCTGCCCGCCGCGACATTACCTCAGCCTACCGCAGCATCAGTACCTGCTTGCCGCTGGCGGAACGCGAACCCGTTCTGGTGGTACATGGCATAGATCTGCTACACTGCACCTGCACAAACTGAACACACGTAGGGCACCGAGGGGTCACGGGGAGGGGTCACGCGAGGGGTCACGGGGAGTGCGCGGCAGGGACGCGAGCCATCGGCCGGCCGCCACCCACCGAGCAGCAGCCGGTTCTCCCGCGGTGAGTGCACGCTGGCCACGTGCGCCGGGCTGAAGGTGACCGTGCACGTCTGCAGGGCGCCGATGAACGTGTCCGGCTCGATCACTCCCCTGCGGCGAGCGGCGGCGTCAGCGGGGGCCGTGGGCAGCGCCCGGTGGCGCCGGTCGGGGTTGGCACGCGCGGTGATGGAGGCCGGCACCCCCGTCTGTGCGGTCCGTCGGGAGGCGTCATTGGTCAGGGCTGCTGGGCTGGGGTGCCGGCGCGAGCGGTACGACATGGAGATGCATGGTCGGTAAATGGTTGCAGTGATGTTTGTGGTAGAGAACAAACGGCGTGGTTGACAGGACTATAATCAGTCTGCGTTGTGTAACTGAGGGAACAAACTGATGCAACGAACGAATCCTATTTACAGTGTGTTTTGGTAGGGTCTGAAATCCCTCGTCAAAACACTACAAGGTTATTCGCCAACCAGAGTCAAAACTTATGTGTGTTGCGAGGAGTGGCGTTCTATTAATAAAAAAGCTAATCAAGTTCTAGCATTTGTAGGAGCTCATCCAGCAGACAAACATGTGTGGCAGGCCATCCCTTTTTGCGCCTGCTACTGAGGTCTTGTTTGTTGTTTGTGCCAAAGGCCTGTGTGTCACTTTCTTCTGTCGGTCTGGTGTGGGTGGTCATGTTTTGAGGTATGGCGCCAACATAGACACGTGATGTGAACAAATATGCGCGCGTGCGCACACGCATGCGCACGGCGGTGCGCCTGCACGCTCGCGCTCGAATGCCACAACAAGCCACTTACTTGTAGCAATAGTCATCGAGCTGCGTCCAGTCCGGCGGGCAGATGAAGCGCTCCTTTTTCACGGGTGCTGACGTGGGCGGCGGCTCGGTAGCCTTCGGCGGCGGCCTGGTGACTTTCGGCGGCGGCTCGGTGACCTCCGTGACCTTGCCGGTGCGGCAGCCGGATCGGTCGGCGGGCCCGAACTGCTTTCGGCACGGGTCCAGTTCACACACCGAGCTGTAGGGACACCAAGTGATGATCACGGTTGTAATCATGGCGGCGATGTACGATTAGGCGCCGCAGCTACTGAGCTAATTCGTCAGCGAAAGAAGTTATTCTAAGGAGGATGGGAACTTAAGCACTGCGTTCACCGACGCCTAATGGTGACCAGTCTGCCCAGCAGCGTAAGGTCACGTGACAAACTGACGGCGCTGCATGCAGACAGCATTGACTTTCATCACGGCAATTAGCAGTCACCCAAATTGTTGAAAAGCAGAGAAGTGCTGTGAGATTATTCTTTATAATTGGCATCATAAGTCAGGGGCCATGTTCTGCATGCTGTTTACAGCGCATCGACTTGTCTGAGGATTTTCCGCTCCTTGACATAGATCTCCCCCAGCAACGCTTCGCTCGACCCGTCTGTGTGGACCGCGTTCAAGTCCACTGCGAATCTCCCCGGCAGTGTGTGTGTCCTCCAAACGACACCCGATTCGCCCCATACCCCCACACACACTCACCAAAATCCGCTCTCCCAGCGCCCACCGGACGAGATTGACACAGGTCCCACATGGGGCCGCGGGTGCCTCTGCGCCTCCGCCCGGTCCTCCCAGGGCGACCCCGGCACCGCCCGCCGCGCACCTCACCTGAAGGCGCCACGCTCGCAGTTGACGTCGTCCCGCCAGCGGCCCGTGTAGAGCAGGGCCGCGCACGTGCCGGTGGTGCGCGAACTGTCGTCGGCGTCGCCGCCGTGCCAGCGTGCCATCGTCCAGGCGTCGCAGTCGGCCCAGGCCCAGGCGGCGGTCGGGTCCGCACGCCCGGCGCCGATCCAGGCGTAGCGGGACGTCCAGTCGCTGAAGTCGGTGCCGGAGCGGAACGCCAGCGCTGCCGGCAGCAGGGAGGTCAGGGGCCCTGCTGTCGGCGGGAGGGAGGTCAGAGGTCTTGCTGCCGGCAGGATGGAAGCCAGGGGCGCTGCTGCCGGCGGGAGGGAAGTCAGGGGCGCTGCTGTGGTGGGAGGGAAGTCAGGGGCGCTGCTGCCGGCGGGAGGGAAGTCAGGGGCGCTGCTGCGGTGGGAGGGAAGTCAGGGACCCTGCTGCCGGCGGGAGGGAGGTCAGGGGCGCTGCTGCCGGCAGGAGGGGGGTCAGAGGCCCTGCTGCCGGCAGGAGGGGAAGCCAGGGGCGCCGCTGCCGTCTGGAGAGAGATCAGGAGACCCTGCTTCCGGCGGCAGGGAGGTCAGGAGCGCTGCTGCCGTCAGGAGAGAGATCAGAAGACCCTGCTTCCGGCGGCAGGGAGGTCAGGAGCGCTGCTGCCGTCAGGAGAGAGATCAGGAGACCCTGCTTCCGGCGGCAGGATAGGGGTGCGCCGGGCCTCTCGGGTTGCTGAGCGAATACACGAGGTGTCGGCAACCTGGTGGGTGAGACGGAGCGTCGCGACTGATGCAGACCTCCGGAGGAAGAAAACCGGCCTTCGCACGGTGCCCGAAGTCGTCGCTCATTACACTCCACACTCCACGCTGAGCGTTTGGACATATGGAGTGCGCCGTTCGTCGCCTGATAAAGCTCGGTTTTCGTTATGTCCTGCGCCAATGCGGTTATCTGCACATCATTTGGATTCAACTGTGTCACAACTGGCATTGTTGACAAGTAATGCAAACGTGGAAAAGAAATGCTCTATGATGATGTCCATGTAAGCCAGGTTCACGCGCATCCGCCGGGATCTTAGACCACGAAATGTCCCTCATTGCACACTTCAGCCTGCAGGCCGCCAGAGCGTACTGGTGATGAAGTCGTTCTCGTCCTGACTCTGGATGCTGGCCAGTTGCCCGCCGTCTCTCTGGCAGACAGCGGCGGCGTCCGCCCTCGTCCGCTTCGGGCCGACCAGACGGTAGCAGTGGCCCCCCGAACGGGATCCAGCCCGGTGGGACAGGTGGCTGCCGGCAGGGGCGGAGGTCATCAGAAGTCAGAGGTCAACCGTTATCTGCAGCTAGGCGTAGCGGCTTGTGATATATTTTTACCAGGGCGGCTTCAGCCTGAGACATGTCGGTGGCTGTGCCGCTTTATCGGGAGTACGTGCGCCCGGCCTGAGGCGGCCGCACTCACGGTCACAAGCGGGGATCTCGCAGAGTCCGGGCAGCCGGTCCACGTCGCACCGGTGGGGACGCCACTGACTCGACTGCTCCATCTGCGGCACGTGTTCACGGCAGGTGACGGCGAGCAGGGCTGGGAGGGGCGGGTGTGAGTACATCTCGCCATTGACAACACCATACACCTCTCCACAGAACGAGAGAGGCGTGCTGGACAGAACATGCTGTCTTCGTTCTCCTCCTCCGCCCGCAGTTTGTGCTCTGAGTTGCTTAGCCCGGTCAGCACGAGGATTACAGCCGAAACAGGGCTGAATCTCCTTCCCCGTCCTGAGTGCGGCTGCTCGGGTCTTTTCCAGAATCACGGAAGTGTCTGAGAGGCGAGAGCAAGTATCTGCAAGATCTGTACGTGACAGACTACCGAGAGACGGACGTCGTTGCCACTTTGGTCGGGAAAAACTCAATCGCCTTCTGGGACCAGCGTGATGCCGCGTGCCGAAACCCGCGGCGCCCGCCATCTTTGTTGGGGAGCGGCCGGCATTTTTGCCGCTCGACTATTGGAACGTGACTTCAAACCCAAGTGCCCACGAATCAATCACGCTCAATTCGCTATGGCGCTTTTGAGCGCAAATCACGCCGAGGAGTTTACTGTCCCTGCATCTCAGGTGTAAGACCGCCGAACACAGGGTGTAGTTTTGTAAATAAGTTGAGGGCTGAGGCTGAGGAGGAAATAAGTGACTAAACCTACATCAGAAACGCGCTAAAGAATATTTCTGTCCGGAACTACCCCACTTTTTTCTAAGGTTAGGGAACCCCCTTGTCCTACATAATTGAGAAGGAGACTACCCCCCTGGTCGAACAATATTATCAAAGTGTGTCGAACATGTAGGTTAGAGTCCCAGCTGCCGCACCGATATCACTCGTTGATTGACGGTCAGTTAGCAACTGGCCGAAAAAACCGGCTGGCATGGGTTGGCTGCGCTATGGTATCGCGCAGTACTGGGATATCCTCCTGTAAGAATTGTCTAGCCGACGAGAATTGTTTCACGACGTGAAGAGATGTGCTTTGTAAGACGGAGCTTACGTTTGACTAATACCAATAATACTTCATATATTCTTTTGTTAGCATCGTTTCCGTCACATCTTCTCTCTCCGCCCCCATCCCCTTGAAATTCCTTCCTACTCTGCTTAGTAGGCGGGCCGCCCTACGTAAGCCAGAGTGTCAGCGGCGGGTCAGCAGGGCGGACAAGGCGTCCGCGTGCACAGGCCGCGCCTGCGGCAGGGGCAGCTGCGGGCCCCGCTGACAGCAAGGTCATCAAGGGGCGAGACGCCCCGGTTGAAGCACAGCAGGTGACCAGGGATGACTGTGGCTGACGCCCAGTTGCCATTAGCATGTTCAGAGCAGCGGGCAACTGAGAAACGGGGCAAGCGGGGCGGATCGGAGTGAAACGGGGCGCGAGCGTCTCGCGCCGCTCGCCCCCCTGCCGCACCGGGATCAGCAGACTACCAGCGGACAATCAAGAAGATCCTGTGCAGACCAGACCAGCAGACCAGAGAAGACGCGGCTTATATAACCACCAGCCCCGCAGGCAAGCTTGGAATCCGAGCCCGAGCTCCGGCCCGAGCGCGGGCCAATCAGCACGCGGCAAAACGCCACGACAGCAAAACCTTAGGGCAGGGACCACCCTGGAGCGTACCGACGCTCGCTATCCGAGGCACTGGGCCTGTTCCGGGCCAAGGAGGAGCGCATGCAAGACGGATCTAAACATGAGCACGAATGTGGGCAAACTTAACTAATTCCCGGAGCTTGGAAGGAAGGGCCTGTACAACAAAACCGGCGTGAGTGCCACATTCCAGGTGAAAGCAGCACTGGGACTCGGAGGGCTCACGGTGGACGGAGACACTCAGCACTCTACGGCCTCAGTCACCAATATATGAGTAGAGAAGCTAGGACGAATGGCTCAAGGATTGGAGTCTGCTCTCCATTGTCCGCCTCTCTCCGACTATGCCTACCCTCATATCATGCCATGATCTTTGACGTCCTGAATCATCAACGCTTCTGAACTCTGCCGTCTTTATCGCTGGTATCCCGATTTCTGGCAGCCTGATCTCTGACATCTTTCATACCTGACGCCCAGGTTTCTGACGCCTTGATCTCTGACGGCCTAATTACCGCCATCCTGATCCCCGACCCCCAGATCTCCGACACCGAAGACCCGACGCACGGATCCCTGAAGACCGAATCTCTAACGTCGTGATCCCCGACTTCCTGATCTCAGACACCCTGACCACAGACATCCCGATCTCTGACGTCTTGACTCCGACATCAGATTCCCACCGCCCTGACCCCTGACACCCTCTTCTCCGACTCCCCGACCTCCCCGTCCCTGCCGTCGTGACCGCCGACGCGGCGTACCCCGGCGCAGTCGCTGTCGACCGAGCGGGCCAGCTTCACGTTCGGCTCCCAGTAGGTGAAGGTGGAGGTCGGCTGGCTGAGCCGCTCCGTGGCGGCCGGCACGGCACGCCCCGAACCGGCTTGCCATAGTCGACCCACATCGGCAGCGAGCCGGCGGCGACTGCGACGCGGGAGCGACAATCAACGGCGCGGGGGCGACAGTCGACGGCGTGGGAGCGGCAGTCAACGGCGCGGGGGGCGACAATCAACGGCGTGGGAGCGGCAGTCAACGGCGCGGGGGCGACAGTCAACGGCGTGGGAGCGGCAGTCAACGGCGCGGGGGCGACAGTCGACGGCGTGGGAGCTACAGTCAACGGCGCGGGGACGACAGTCAACGGCGTGGGAGCGACAGTCTACGGTGCAGGGGTGACAGCGACGAGGCGTACATCGCGGCTCCTAGACATCACGACGGACAGTGTGCGGCAAGACATTCGCTTTAACCCTGACCCTGATAGGGGAGGGTTCGATGCGGGCCCCCTCCTAAGTTTTTCAGGATACCCCTCCGGTATGTTGTACTATTGCGATCATATTTTCAATAGCCTATAGGGCATTCTTGTGTGTGTTTTGACACCAAAAACGTGTTTCTGGCTTTTCTTGTTTCGGAACAGCGGTGGTCTCTTATGAACACTGCGCGGCGATTTAGGCCGGCGCGGTCAGCGGGCGACAATCAACGATGCCGCGGGACACGCGCGGCGGGCCGACATTGTTACATTAACGGAGCCATATATCATGAATATTAGCAGTGGAGCTCACAGAAGGCCCTGTCGTTCTCCTCGACGGAGCGCAGCAGCGCCACGGTGCCCTGCGGGTGGCGGCTGGCACATTGCGCCTGCACGCGGGCGAACGTGTTCGGTGCGGTGGGGCTGCTGTAGCAGCGGCTGCCGCTACGACTCCAGCCGTCCGGACAGCGCAGCTCATCTGCGGCGCCGTCAGGGGGCGTCACTGGCGCTGTGTACAGTGGGACTGCGCAGCGGAGGGCTGGTGGGCAGTAAACGCACGCGGCGGGCTACGCAGCAAGGCTGCACAGCGGAACTACACAGTATGACTGTATAGCAGGCCTGCTCAACAAGATTTAAACAGCCAGACTACACAGTAAGACTGCACAGCATAACTGCACAGTAGAATTACGTTACAGGACTGACAACAGACGTGCGTGGCAAGGTACTGCGCTGCCTGACTCCTCAACACGGCCAACTAGGCGGGACCGCACAGTAAGAACACACAGTAGGGCTACATTGTAGGAGTACACGACGGTCTTACGCCACAGGACAACACAAGATCGCAGGGCAGACGTGCACAGCAGAAGTCGACAATAGGGCTGCACTGCAGGGCTTCATAGTAGGACAGCGCAGCAGGACTACACAGGAGGATTGCACAGCAGTGGTGCACAGCAGGACTGCTCTGCAGGACCGCACAGCAGGACTTTGTAGCAGGACTGCACAGTAGTTGTGCACAGCAAGACTTTACAGCAGGACCGCACAGTAGAAGTGTTCAGCAGCACCGCATAGTAGGACTTCACAGCAGGACTGCACAGCAAGACTTACAGTAGCGTTACACAACAAGACTGACAACAGACGTGCATAACAATGTACTGCACTGCCGGACTTCGCAGCGCGGCCAACTAGTGGGACTGCATAGCAAGAGACATAGTAGGGCTTTATCATAGGAGCACACGATAGTCTTACGTCAGCGGACAACACAGCAAGATCGCAGAGCAAACGTGCACAGCAGAACTCGACAGTAGAACTGCACAGTAGGACTTCACAGCAGGAAAGCACGACAGAAATGCACAGCAGGACTGTACGGGAGGATTGCACAGTAGAAGTGCACAGCAGGACTGTTTCGTAGGACCGCACAGCAGGACTGTATAGCAGGACTGCACAGTAGTGTGCACAGCAAGACTGCACAGCAGGACCGCACAGTAGTAGCGTACAATAGTAAAGGCACAGCAGGACTTCACAGCGGGGATTGCACAGTAGGATTGCACGGCAGGACTTCGCGGCAGGACTGCACAGCAGGACTGCATAGAAGGGCGTCGCAGTATGATTACACAGTATGACTGCATAGCAGGACTTCACAGCAGGATTGCATAGCAGGTCTGCACAGTAGGAGCGCACAGCAGTACCTCACAGCAGGACTGCACAGCGGACTTAACGGCAGGACCGTACAGTAGGAGTGCACAGTGGGATCCAGAGTAAAGCTGCTCGACGATACTAGTTTTGTTTTTAACAAATGCGCGCATCTTGTTTGTACGTTGAGGGAAGTGACTGCAGTTCCAGCGCCAACCATCTACTGCTCAATCTGAACGCCTATTCAGCTTTGGTCGTGGTGGGCTTAGGCCGAAAGGAGCCGGTTTACTCGGACCGCCTCACCACTGTTAGATCACCACTGTTAGGCCCTGCCACCCTCGGAACCAGCTCTCTGACCGTTGGGCTGCCAGAGGCGGATCTGGGCGTCGCGGACTGGCTCGCGCAGGATCTGCTCGGCCGGCCGCAGATGATGAGCTCGCAGACAAACGGCCGGTGCGGCCGTTGTGCACGTGGCACGAATTGTCCGCCCACGTCTTGTCCTGCAACACAACGCGCCGTTATTGCGGATCGGCTTTTGCAAACCACGCCTGAGACAACTTGGTTGAGTCACATCTTGTCTGGTTACCAGCTACCTCTCATGTTCACAGGTGCCTTCGCACACGTGCAGAACGTCAACTTTTCCTTTGATATATATGTACCTTGTCTGCTCCACCAGTGCGCCACAAGCGATTCAAGCAAAACATCAAAGTTCCACCGTCGACAGGGCCACTGCGGCTCCATGGAGCTACAGGCGCTGCTGCCTCGCCGGGCGACAGCGTCCCCGTCGGTGGTATACTCCTCACCAGACGGCAGCGTCCCCTGTCGGGGGTGTACTCCTCACCGGACGGCAGCGTCTCCGTCGGTGGCGCACCCCTCGTCGGGCGGCGGGCGCCCCCGTCAGCCTCCACCCCGATAACCCACCTGCAGCATCTCAGCGCAGTCCTGGCTGTGCTTCACGCCGTTGGGCTCGGACGGCCGGTGCCAGTTGGTGTACGGGTACTTCTCGCCGCTGCTCCAGACGAACTGACCCTCACGCTCGCGGTCGTTCAGCCCGATCCAGAACGGGTACTCCTTCAGCAGATCTGCCCAGCCGCCGCGCAGCACCAGATCGGTCGGTTAGCGTCAGCACAAGCGGAAACCCAACTTCAAGCGGCCTGACGTCCCCCAAGGCTGGCCTTCGGCTTGTCCGCCAGCCGGCCAGCTCCTGATCTATCGGCTAGCCGCAGGGACTGCTGACGGACTCTGTCAACCGGCCGTGGGGAGGCTGGAGAGCTGTTGGAAATGAGAACGTGGTCTCTCATCTAAGTTCTTTCAAATAAGGCATCGAATTTGACGGTGGCGTGATGAATATCGGATAAGCAGACTTCCTTGAATACCACGGATGGTTGGGTAGTAGATTCAGGGTTTAGCGTAGATAAGAGATGCTTACGCTTCTGCCCTCCACTTTAGGGACAAAGTTAAAATTCAATACACCAAAACAAACTGCAGAGTCGCGAAATGCAGCATCAAGAGAGTCCTCGCATGATCAACTCATCACGGGATTGGAATTCCTTTCGTGTCCATGGCCCATGTGAGCATGCACAGAGCACGAGCAACGTGCGCCTGTGCATGGTACTCACGAAAATGACTAGCGCCCGCGCGACAATCGAATGCAGTGAGCACAAACCAGCAACAGAAGTCATGCACGCGTTCGTGCGTGTACCCGTCGGCGTGTGTGCGGGGTAATTTTCGTGAGGATGCGTGATTGAACCCTAATGGAGGGTGTGGCTGAATGGCATCGCTGTGTTCGTTTTGTTTCCCCGAATCCAATAAGTTCACCATCCGCTTTGTTTTCCTGTAGTTGGTTGCTGCTCTGTGCATATGTGCTGTCCTTGGCACTAGGGAAGTCATGCTATTCAAGCATGGAAACGATAGAGCGAGGTGTTAAACACATGGACGAATATGCACAGACATGAAAGCCAAGGGGGGGGGGGGGTGTTTTGCACAGCCAGCACTGGTCAGTTCTATTTTAGCTGTTCTTTGCAGCGGGAGCCGTGTCGTGGCTTATCGGCACGTACGTAAAGGCGGCCCACCTTCCCATGGTTGGCATACATCTAAGGACAAACCGCTACCATCGCAGTGGTACAGCCCTTCGAACTCACCCAGCAACGGAAATTTTTGAGTCATCTCTCGCGGCCCAAGCATGCGCTGAGGTACGGCTCGCTGGAGAATGGCAGACGACAGCCGAGCGTGACCTGACCCGCAGACCGGCCGGAGCCAAGCTGGCACCCGACCACCGCCCTCTGCCCTCCCCCCCCCCCCCCCCACCCGGCACTGCAGCCTTCGCGTAAGCGTTTTCTATTTGTGCACTCAAGATGTATAACGAACTCTCTCTAACTTTCCTCGACTTCTTCCGATCGTCACCTTCCCGAAACATTTGAAGGACTTTCGTGGGACATTCGTGGATGTCATTACCTGTTCGTGCAGCGGAGTCGTGACTGGTGTGCATCTGCGTGTGTTTCGGGCGTTTGTTTTTGGATGATTGACTTTGTCCTCGTGATCTAGTAGCTGTCCATTTATCTGCTGAAAATTGGTTGCAAAAGCTCGGAGTGATTCGGATTTCTCAAATACGCGTCATCGTCATCATCATCATCATCATCATCAGCCTCACCCACCGAACACGAAGTTGTTCTCGCGCTCGTTGATGATGCTGACGAGGTCGGCGGTGGGCGCCATCTTGCGGCAGCGCTGGCGCGCCTCGGTCCAGCTGACGCGTGACGTCACGGCCCGGTAGCAGCGGCGGTCCCACTCACGCCAGCCGGAGGGACAGCGGCAGGAGGGCATCTTGCAGACGCCCCGCAGTGTGCCGGCCGTGTGCGAGGCGGCGAACCGCCACCGGCCCGACGGCTCCATCTGGCGACGGGCAGAGCTGTGCGAGGGGCGAGTGTGGGACCGCTGCGGGACTGTTGGTCAAGGGGCTGGACATTGGAGGGGGACGAGGGGGGGGGGGGAGCAGGAGTACGCGAGAGAGAGGACCTCTACCAGGCGATGCTGACACCAGAGACAGGTCCCTCTTGGAGACTGAGGCTCAGACCCGGACGGGGTTGGGCGGGGGGAGTGGTGCAAGGGCCGTGTGAGCGGCGGAGGTCACAGAGGGCAAACCACGCGCAGATTCTCAGGCCGGAAAAATATTCCTCAGAATGATGACGCGTTAGGAAGTCACATCCGAACACAACAGGCACTCGGGTAAAATTAGCTGACTCAGGTGCATTACCAGGCTGAGAGCGTTATTGGGCGTTGAAATACTTTAGCGATCCTTCTATGTTCACCTTGGTGCGTGACTGCCGAGGTCTCGCATGTTTTTACGCTGATGCTCTTGCGATTAATCACACACATTCCCATCGCGTGACTTGCCATAGAAACCGCACACTGGCGGTGTGCTGACCTGGACAACATCCTCCGCGCCCTTGGTCTGGGTACGGCTGCCGGGGAAGTTGCGGTAGCTGACGGCCGTGCCGTCCGTCCAGGTCAGCAGGTTGTTGGTCGACCTCAGGCCCAGCCAGACCGCCTTCTGGCCTGCCAGATCTGAGGCCACAGTTCATGCGTTACCACGCTGTCTGGGGAGGCGCGCCAGGTCACTGTATAGGTGTAAAGTTAACTAGAGGGCCAAGCTCGTGTCTCGTTTGATATCATGCTGCGCTCAAATGTTTTCCCCCAGGTGAAATTAGCGACACATCTCACTAGATAAGAGGCGCCGCCACGGATTAATTTGCTGCAACGTTTTTTTAGCGATGCAGAAAAATTTTGATGGAAGTTTGGATTAGTGTCCTGGTCTGGTGTGTTTGTATTTGCACAACGTCTCAACCTGTAACTCACCGGCCGCGTTCAGGTGGTTGAGTACTGAGGACTGGGCGGTGTTAGATTTTCAGCCATGTACGCACTACAGCACGATTTTTCTTCGTGGAGTTGCTGGGGATTCAAATCAGGGTCATCTAGTCGCAAGTACAATGCTCTATCAATTGAGCTAACTGAATACCAGGGGGAAGAATCAAGAACAATTGACGACGGTCGGAGTGTTAATGACCGGAGTGTTTAAAGGCCGGAGTGTTAACGGCCGGAGTGTTAACGGTCGGAGCGTGAACGACCGGAGTGTTAACGGGCGCAGTGTTAACGGCCGCAGTGTTAACGGCCGGGGTTTAACGTTGTGTAAATTCCCACCGCACCAGGCGAGGACGGAAGTCCGCACAATTGTTCCAAGCGTGATGCTACTGCCGCGTCTCAATCCTTCAGTTAAAATGTCATCGCAGCTGAACAAACAGAATGGGATGCAGAGATGCGTCACTTTCTGCTGCAGGCGTTGCGAAGCCGGCGGGTTGCCCGCGCGCAGTCGTGGCGCACGGGAGGACCAATAAACAACAATGGGCTGCGCGCAGACGCAGTTGCAGAACAGACACAAAGACGAGCGCGCCGCTAGGACTCAGGCTACAAAGCACGAGCTCACAGCTTGCGCTCGGATGTACACACGACGTAGTTCGAGGTCAGGCCAAGGGCGAATGAGTCAGCGGTGCGGGAGCGAGTCAGGCTCGCACGGCAGCCAAGCGGTTGGTGGCTGGTTTGAACACGGCTAGGCATGGTAATGGTCCTAAATCGTGTTCAGCTCTTATGCTCCCGTAGAATAAACGAAGACGTTTTAAAAATTTGGTGCATGGCACGGTATTGGACGGCTCATCTTTTTCTTAGAAGTCTCTTCGGTTTCATTGTCTCCTATCCTAAAGGATCAGATCTAAAACCCACTCTTATTACCGCATCTCCCGAACGGCTCGGAGGCGCTTAAAGCTGTCTGCTTTTCATAAGTGTTTGACCTTAGTTAATGTTTTAGCCTGATATTGATGTGGGGAAATAATGGCATTAAAAGGTGTCTTGTTCTGCCGCTAGTGCCAATTCTTGCAATAGTCCCGCGCCCCTGGTTCCGTCACGAATTCTTTTGATATTATAACACTCTTCTCAGCCGGTTTTTTCCAATATCCTTGTGCGTGTTGTGCATCTGGTGAGTGGTTAGTCACCAAATGACAGTTTATGATGAGCAGATTCAACTGACCGTCTCGATATTGCATGATAGGGCCTGCCAAAGCTTTATGGACGGCACTCAAGCACAATGGATCCCTGGATAGCCTCAGAGATCCACTGACCGTATGCGGTCCTTTCGTGGCGCAAAAGCTCCGATAACAAGTGACTGATTTCATGGTCTTTTCAGAACATGTTGGCCAGGAAAGCACGGGCATGGTCTGCTATAAATGACTTGAAAATTGCTGGAAGAGACATAATCACATGTACCAAGCACCCCCACATTAACTTGATATGCGTCAGAGGATGAACAGCTTACTTTTTATGAAGTCGTTTTTCGTCCTTGCTGGTGACGCTGGCAGCGTCGGCGGACCTG